CCTCTGAACATGGTAAAATGTGTCGTGTAAGTTAGAAAGAATTTTAAGATGAATTCTTTTAAACAATGAAATTCTCACAAGTAAAATTTTTAGAGAAAAGGAACAAATTGTTGTTTGTTTCTATAGGTGCTATAGCTATTTTTTTTAAAATGCATTAAAGAGCCAGTGCTTTCTTGTACTTTTATGAATATGGCATGAAGACCTGAAGATGATGTACAATTTGAGATAATTTAAACTGTATTTTCCTCGGCAGTTCTGGTTTAAATAATTATGTTCAGAACTACAATAATGTAAGGCATTTGTGAAGAGAAATAATAACTCCTATCTCAGAGTTGTTTTTTTCTCTTTGGATGCTACTTTTCCAATGGAAATTGCATGCTGGCATACACAGGGCTGCCAAGAACAACTACCAGTCCCCAGGTGAAGATTCCCTCTGGGGCACCTCCCCCTGGGGCACCCAGATCCATCCAAACATCACATGAAAGCAAATTGCATCAGTTGCCAAGGTCCTTAGGCCTGTGGCATTTTGGCCTTTCACTCCCTCCTCCTTTGGCAGCCCTGGTTATACTGGATCAAAATAACCCAATTACCACAACAATAGTGTAAATATAAATCTATAAAGCCAGTAGCAGGCAAAGGAAGTCAGTTGCCTTCAGAAGATACTTGCCTAAATAGTGCACCACTGAAAAATCTAGGCCCATATTTTCTTCAAGTTTATATTTATTCTTGTTGGTTCACTTCAGAGAACCTACTTTCTGAACAAAGCCACACTGAGACCATGCAATACTTCATAAGTAAAAGGCAACACTTTGAATGGTCCCCTGAAACAGCCTGTACCTGTATGCAAAATACGATCAGTGCGTTCACTTGATGAATTTCTGTTTTGAGTCACCAACTGAAGCTCCAAAGTGAGCCCCAAGAATGACCCAATATGCAAGGCTCTTTTTGTAGCAGGAAGTCCTCTGCATATTAGGCGACACACCCCTAATGTAGCCAATCCTCCAAGAGCTTACAGGGGCTACTGTAAGCTCTTGGAGGATTGGCTACATTAGGGGTGTGTCGCCTAATATGCAAAGGAGTTCCTGATACAAAAAGAGCCCTACCAATATGTAAATATTATGAGGGCATAGGTGACTGAGGTTCCAGGTAGCCTCTAAACAACTAAAACGGCACAAAACTGTATGCAAGCTTTCAAATTCTCCGGAACTTCAGCAGGCTGGATGTTAACAAAATAGTATCAATAATGACAACAGAAAAAGAAGTTTCAGGCTGCAATAGTGAGGCCTCTTGTCTGCTTCTGTTCTGAAGCCTAGGCAATTGGGTGGAGTTTTTCAGTTTCCGTTGTGAATATTAAAACCAGTGATGAATCATAGGTGACTATGGCTAGATACCAGTTTTTGTTTTTTTTAAGGTGCCATAGCCTTGTGGGACCCTGTGGCTGCTATAGTAAAAAGTGGTCCTGAACCACACCCAGACAGTACTGGGTGAACCACACCCAGACGGCTCTTTTATTAGGGTTGCCAGGTCCTACCTGCAATCTGGCGGGGGCGCTCCCTTGTTTGGGCTGGGATCTTCTGAGTTTTTGGTTTCAAAACCATAGAGTTTGCCCAAAAATTAGAGCATCATCTTCTGTTGGTAGCATCATAATGACCTGTTTAATTAACTTTCTAATGACCCTGCGGTCTAAATTCCCCTTGAGGGTCTCAACTAGCAGCTGCCTCTAGGTGGTAAAAATGCATCAGGGACAAAATACAGCCTTGCAGTTCCCCACGGGACAACTGTTGCCAGCCCTAAGCCAAGCAAAAGACCTAGAACTTAAGAGAACAGGGGGGGGGGGGACCCCCCAAACAGCAGCATTTCTTTTCCACAAAATAGGACTTTCAAGGCAAGGCTGCTGCAGGTGTCCTTGACTGTCAGGATCATCCATGGAGTTAAAAAGCTGTGACTCTGTTTAGGATTCCACTGAGAGTTTGGCTGCTTTTTATATAATGAGCATAAGCTCTGTGTTAGGCACATCTACTCTCAGTGTTAAAACTTGCAATGAAACTTTTTATTAATGCTCTGTACTTTCCAGATTGCTCATTTGATGTGTACGAGAGCCAACAGCCACATTTGATGGAGGATTTAAAGCAAAACCCCTTGTTTTCTCCTAACCACTGAATTATTATTTTCCTCCATGATTGAAATGTTAAGGGTTTGGGCAACTGAGAGAATGAGCTTTCAAAAGACTAACCAGCTGAAAACTATTGTCAGCATTAATTCTACTCTTATGAATAACTATCAGAAGCTACTTAGCAGTCTGTAATCTGATGCTGGGAAAGATTGAAGGTCAAAGAAGATGGGGACGGCAAAGGATGAGATGGTTAGACAGTGTCATAGATGCAACGAAAATGAAATTGAGCCAACTTCAGAGGACGGCAGAAGACAGGAAGGCCTGGCATGATCTGGTCCATGGGGTCGCAAAGAGTCGGACTCGACTGTGCGACTGAACAACAACAAAATCTGATACCAAGTTATTGATGGGGGGCAGGGGTTTATAAATTTCTACTTAGAATATCTAATTAATTTGCTGGAAGTCAGGGCATGGGGTTAGTAATAAAGACCATTACGAAGTGTACATATTTTTAAAAAGGAGCATGATGGAACTCTTCTAAACTGTGAGAGCTTGGATTTGGCTGGATGGATTAGGCCTGCAGCTGGGTGGGGCTGTTAACCTGACTGAAAATGCCTTTCTTGAAAGGAGAACTGGAAAAGACAAAGATCAAGCATAGTTTTGCTTGCCTTTTTTCTGTACCAGGGTGAAAAGTGTGGGGGGGGCCCTTCAATTTTGGGAAGCCAAGATTAACCCCTTGCTTTCCTCAGCACTGTGAGCTCCAATTTACATCTCTCCCCCCCCCCTCCTTAAGGTTATGGTACTTGTTGAAATATCCAGTCATGGATCCCTAATGTTGCATGTTGTAAGCTTCTTGGGTGGGAATTTTTGTGTCATTTGGCAGAGTTCCATGACTTGATATAAATAAAGCTAATAGTATCTCAACAGATCAGCCAATAATGAAAAACAACCAGTATTTAGATTATTACATCCAATGAAGATGGTAATGTAGACTAATGAACGCAAGCCCTGTAACTTGAACTGAAAGTGGAAGTAGCATACCCACACATAATAAAGTATGTGTTTTTCTGCAATGTTTTCTGCTGATGATGCATGTTTTCTTCTAGACAAATATATCTTGAACTGGTTTCACAGATGGTCATATCATTTCATATTCCAGAAGTTCCAGTGCAGTTATACTGGGTTTAATTTCCTTCAGATAAGAGCAAAGATTTACTATATCTTAATTCAGAAATATAAAAGCAAAACATGCTGGAAGCTAGTTGGCTCCTACAGCAGACAGCATAACCACTAATCCTACTTTAGGTCCCCAAAAACATAACTCTGCCACAGTGATGCTTCAGCATCAGCCAGCACACAGATCTTTTCCTTAATTGTCCAAATATAGACTGTGTCCCCATCTCCCAACCCCACCCCAGCTAGCCAAAGGGTTTCATCAAAGTCTTTCCAAATGGCCCAAGGCAGGCCTTGCCTGTCTCATTGTACATGATCTGAAGGTACTATGTACCCTGCTTATATCACTCTCTGCAAATTCCTGTGTTTCTTCTTATTCAATAAACTTCTCTGCAACCAATTTTGATAAAAGTCTGTTTGGCTCCTTAGCCCTCCAGTAAAGAAACCCTTGCTCTCTGGACTTGCTTAGAATATTTTTGCCTCCAGTTAGTGACATTGTACCCAGAAGTTTCTGGCTGACGATCTAAATGCCCAACTAGGCCCCTCAGATAAGGCATTGGTCAACTCTCAGTGGTGGCCTTAGGATATCCATTATTCACCCCCATGATGGGTAATATGTGTACAAGGGACCAGATTATAAATTTTGCAGATTCTCAACAGTGTAAATAGTTGGACAATGAAATTAAGGCAGAAATTATGTGCACACATAAACACACTTCCTGCATAAGGCTGAAATGCACTGCTTACAGTTTTGCTGTTAGATCACATTTTAAGCAGTTGTTCCAGTTCACTTGAATGAGTAATAAAAAATCTAGATCTCGACCCTTCATTTGTAAAAATGTTGACAGTAGTTGAATATATTGGAATAAAAAAAGGCCATTATGAATGGCTCACTTTTCTGATAGGACTGGGTTTTTTTTACAGATGGCAGGCACTGAGATATCTACTGCCTTGGCTGTATTGCACAATGAATCGGGTGGACGGGTTTCAATGTATTCTTGCAGGGGAGAACTTGCTTTGCAAAATCACCTAGTTCATTTAACTATTGGGAGCAAGCTAATGCATTCAACATTTTTGAGCGTGTAAAAAAATCAGCTCTAATTATCTTTGTTCTACCTGGATTTTAAAACTGCCTTGTGATTCTGATTCCACTATCGCTAGTAGCATTTGTGTGAGAAATAAGCAAGGGTTAGATCCACTGCCTCTTTTGTGCTGGAGGAAGAGAAGAGAGTGAAAAGTAATTGATTCCACCCAGACCCTTCAGACTCCCACATTTTACCCACAGCTGTTCCAGAGCAGAGCATTTGGGAGGGTGCCATGGGCTGCAGCAGGGAGTGGGGAGGAGGCAAACCTCTGCTTGCAGTTCTTTGGATCCAGTCCTAACACTGCAGTCCTGTGCACACTTCATGAATAAACCTCAGTGACTTTGGTGGCACTTATTTCTAAACAGTGTCAGGCTTTAAGGCTTCTCCCATTGAACTGACGAGTTTTATATCCACAGCAGACCTAAAGGGATCTTTTTCAGGTTCCATCCCTCAGCAACAGAATGACCTGATAGGAAGTAAGATATGAATAGTTGCATATATTTATATATTCAACTTCTTCTTTTTTTTACCTTCAGGCATTGGGACAGCTCATGTAGGGAGCCTCACATTCATGGTTGGGGGAGTGGAACATCTATTTGTGTATTCAACCTTTTTTTTTTAACCTTCAGGCGTTGGGGCAGCTCGTGCTGGAAACCTTACATTCATGGTCGGGGGAGTAGAACAAGAGTTTAACGCTGCAAAGGAGCTGCTCACGTGTATGGGTTCCAATGTCATCTACTGTGGAGAAGTTGGAACTGGACAGGTACTGTTTGAGTAGTCATTTCACTTTAGCTTTTTTCTTCTTTTGGAACACTGTTAAGGTTCTCTGCAGTCCCATGGCAGCATCACATTTACAGTAAGGCTGTGGTCACACGTGCCAGTTGAAGCGGAGGGGAAGCAAGGCGATTCCCTCAGGAGGAATTTGACCTGTGGTTGCGAGATCACACAGCCCTTTGTAGCTGCGGGCTCAGCCCATCACTGTGTGATCAGACACAACTGTGGGTGAGTTGGGGGGAGGGTTTTGCCATTTGTTTCCCATGCACATAAACGAGGAATTGCACCTCCACACCGAGGGCCCCCTATGGGTATGCGATGATGTGCATACTGCAGGGGGGGGGGACAGCACCAAGCCAGGATGGCCTGATCAGACCATCCCGATGGCATGCATGCGTGCTTGTGTGATCAGACAGGGGAAAGTCCGTCCATGGCCCATCAGAACCCATTTACTACCAGAATTTCTCCCGCGTCTTTTTACTCTGCTTCTGCAGCAGAGCAGCACAGGTTGCCGATGACTGCGAGTTGCTTCCCAGATGTTGCTGTCTGATTGCGCCCTTTAGATCCATCCAGCATTCGCTCCTGTGTCGAATCTACTGGCACATGTGATCGCAGCCTAAGATTCCCATTTAAACTGATTGTTAGAGAAAGAATTTGGTGGCATTTTGTGGATCAGCTTGATGTATCATAGCATGGGGTCTTCATAGGTAAAGGCCTGCATCATTAGACATATAGAGTGAGGCAGAGTGGGCTGGACAAGCAAACTACTAAGGAAAAAAGTAATCATGAGAGGCTCAAGCTACAGAGCCTCTTGTGCAGGCACTTCAGTGTGCACAAGAGATTTTTTGCCAATTTCTGCCTCTAGTTATACTTTTCTGAACCACATCCCATGCCACTCCCAAGTGCCTTCTAGACTTTGGGAGGTCAAAGAGCCGCAGCAGGAAGGAGTAGGTAGGAAACCCCCATTGAACAAATGGAACTTTACTCGCACCTGTTATTCAATCCAGCCTGAATTAAAGGAAATCACTCTTAAGTGTGGTGGGAAACATGAATATGTACCTAGCACATTCTCAGTCCATTTCATGGCTTTGGTGAAAAATGCTCATGTCTTCAAAATGTTGTGAAAAATTTAACTGCCTTGGAACTCTGCTGCAGTGGGCTGACAGTTCTAGTATATGGTTTACTTAGCCCAGTATAGTCTGCTAATACGGTTAAATAGTAGGGTCAACAAGGAGTAGGCAATTAAAGGTAAAGGTAAAGGTTCCCTTGCTCGAAAGCCAGTCGAGTCCAACTCTAGGGTTGCGGTGCTCATCTCCGTTTCAAAGCCGAAGAGCCAGCGCTGTCCGAAGACGTTTCCGTGGTCATGTGGCCATCATGACTAAACACCAAGGCGCACAGAACGCTGTTACCTTCCCACCGAAGTAGTACCTATTTATCTACTTGCAATGTCTTGCTTTCGAACTGCTAGGTTGGCAGGAGCTGGAACTAGAGACGGGAGCTCACTCCATCATGTGGCACACTCGGGTCTCGAACTGCTGAACTATTGACCTTCCACAGCCTGCAGTTCAGCGTCTATTCTAAGAGGGCAAAGTAGTCATTATATCAGAAGTACACCAAGTATGCCAAAACTGATGTTTTGTAGTGCTTGATCTTTGTCATGAAGCATGGAAACTTGTTGCTCTTTGCCCTAGGGAGTGGTTGTTGAACACCATCATTTACAATGACATTAGATTCTGGTTTTGATACTTTTCAGAGTAATGGAGAAATTCATTATGTATTTTATTTATTTTCAGGCCGCAAAGATCTGCAATAACATGCTCTTAGCTATCAGTATGATTGGAACTGCTGAGGCCATGAATCTTGGAATCAGGTTTGCTGGATTTTATGGGATCCTTTTTTTATATATTAGCCATTTCTGTATATTTTTCTGGCTGACTTTTCTATGGAAAAAGAATGATGTTTCAAAGATGTAGATTAACAGCTGTCTGCTGCAAAAGTGTACTATTTCATTATTACAATGCTACAAAAAGCTTCTCTTGTTTAATCTAGTGTAGGATTTCAGGGAGCTGGGACATTCTTTACAAAGGCCATAAAATAAAACTGCGCTTTGTGTGTGTTAGATTATATATAGTGGCTCCCTTTTCTTATTTCCAGATAAAATGTGCAGTAGAGAGACAGTATCAAGTGCAACGGCTTGAAAATATAAGGGGGAGGAGGCATACAGAATTGTCTCATCAAATATGTTAGTTGCATGTCTGTGAAATCTTCTGTACTTAGCCAATTTTTGGAACGTGCAGTGGAATTTATAAGGCAATCCTAAACCCACTGACATCAATTGACTTCTGCTTAGGATAGCACTGTTATTATCTTCCAGTTAGTAGTTCCAAACACAGGAGTTCCCACTTCTGCTCTCTCTAAGTGACCTATTATTATGAAAAATTCAGGAGGTGTTTAATAAATGTTGCCTCAATTTAGTGGATTTGCATATAGATGTTTTTTTAAAAAAAACAAAAGAAATCCCACCCTGTATTCTGTTCCTCCATTAAATTCTTATGCTACTATCATGGTAGTAGCTGGCAGTGCAGCTGTGTAGGCCCTCCCATTCTCCCCAGTTTGTTTCCTGTGATAGGTAGGGTATGGGAGAGGGGTAGAGATGAGTACATGGAGGCTTGTTTGCAACAATGCAGCAGTGGTAGCTATTCTGAAACCATTGATTCCCAAAAGCTTTAGGAAGCTCATAGCTTTATGGTGAGCTTTCTGGAGTAGACCACCACGGAAAGTGCTTTGACTCAGGTGCCAACCAAACAAGGCTTCCATAATGACAGCACACAATGCAAGGTACTAGATTACAATCTCAAATTATAGGCAGGTTGTTAGAGGATGAGACAGACTTTTTTGGTACCCTGGTCTTAAGTCATTCAGAAGTCAAGATTAGCCTTTTCAATTGATACTGGAAAAGAAAGTGTCCTGCACTGTTAATGGTCTAGGATTTGACATTTTTTGCCTTTCAGATGTGTCTTTTTATCTTCAGTGCAAAACAATCAATCGCCCTTGTTTTAACCATGCACGCCAGCATTCCTGAGTTTGCCATCCTTGTGCTGAGAGACTCCTCTCAGTCTTGCAACTACAGAAATGTACAGTGGCTTGCCAGTATGTACTGTGACTCTCCAAGAATTCAACATAACCTATTGTTAAGTCTCTGAATGACAAAAAAAGAGGTTTATTACCCACGTGGTGGACCACAATGCATGTGTGTAGCTGTGGGCCATGAGCATGTCAGACATAAACTAACAGCACAATCCTGTCCCTGTTTCTTGGTTTAAAAAATGTGAACATAAGCAATTGTGGTAAGCATTTTAATACTTGGAGATTTTTAGAAGCTTATGCTAGCACTTAAATTCTTTGTTAGACTCGCTGGCTAAGGTTGGTAAATCCTGCTTTAAAGTATTTGTACTGCATCTTTTCTGTATCTCTGTGTTTTTGTGTAGGCAATAGATACTTTATTTAACTTTGCAATTCTTTAGTAATTTTGTCCCCAATTAGTGTTTGTTTCATTTTTCTATAATGTGACCAGTGGTAATTTTTACTACATTGTTAACATGTTCACAAGAAGCCACACACTGTAACTATCAGTGAGTCTTGATCCTGCAGAATAAATTGCTGTTTTGATATATGTATTAGGTATAATGAAATACATAATTGTGTGTGTAAACCTGTGTGTGCACATGTGCACCTAAAAGGTTGGTTAATAGATTTGCATTTCCTCTTCATTATCATATCAAGATACAGTTGTTTTATTGAATTGCCCTTGTCTCAGATGTTAGACTATCTTGACCTATTAAGTTGTCATGTTGTAATTGAGATAAAAGAGGAATTTGCTTTGCATCAGTGCTAATTGGTTTATCAATATCTTGTATCATTTACATTTTAAAATTGAGCATCTGTAAGATAGGGAAGTGTATCTTTAACAAGCCATAATAAAACCCATAAGGTTGTACACTATGGTTGTAATTGAGGATTGTAAAGCTGTATCATAGTTTTATGTCATGGTTTGCTTAATGAAAAATCAATCGCGTATGACTCCATTGTGTTTGGCTCAAGCAGAAAGCCACATTTTCTGTATTTAAAAAAATTCAGCTAGCCAGGGTTATGGCAATACCTGCCACTATCATTGGCAATACCCACAACCATAATTGGTATTTGCAGCCGATGTAACATGCAAATATTGCTGGATTTTCATATTCCAGGTTAACTCTTTACCCTGCAATGTGGATTTAGCTGTATTAAAGCCTAATAGCCGTGATTAATACCTGGTTTAGGAGTGACATGTGCTATTCAAGCCTCACACACACACACACACCGTATCCTTGGTAGAGCCAGCAGCATCTGCTACGAGAATTATGTTCCACTCATGAGCTTTTTCCAAGCAGAATTCGGTCCTGTTGCCAGACTCAATAAGGACACAGGTATGAAAGTGAAATCTTTGGCTAAAGCTTGCTGCTTTCTGTCGTTTTTGTTCCAAGTGATGGATGTTGTCACTTCTAACTCAGCCTTTTCATGAATGGGCTGAAGTAGTCTTCTTTTTTTGAGAAACACTAGGTGTCAGCCATCTTCCATATCCATCAAACACTCATCTTGGTAACAATCCTGATACAGATTCAGTTGGCTCCCATTGTTGGCCATAGAAGGAAGCAACTGGCTTTTGAAATCTGCCACAGCCAGCACTGCAAAAGCCCAGGTTATACTCCCTAGTACTCAGTTGCTGGATTTTGGCCATTGTCCTTGAGAAGCATTAGCTGAGCTTATTAATGGCTTGCACAAGGCGGGTCATGTTTTTGTCTCTGTTTGGCTGTTATATCACAGAGTCATTCTGTCATCTGCTCTGACTAGTCATGTATATTCAGAAATAGCCAAGCTCTCTTGCGTAGGCAAAGCTGCACCAACAGCTGTAGCAGTTGGATGAGAGCTGTTAGCGATTTATCTTGCTCTTTATGAGTTCCTCTGTCTGTTGATGAAAGTTGGAATATTGCTACATTGTTTTTAAAGAATTCCCTGAAGAGTTATGAATTTTCCAATGTTGGTTTCTTGGCCCATAAAAATGAATAGAAGAACATGACTAGTTTCAGTGGGAATTGGAATACAAGCGTACACATAACTGAGAATATATGCATCACTCACTCCATCCACCTACTGTCATATAGAAAAACACATTCATAGTGCTTTCATCATACAATAAATGTGTTTTCCTATGTAAAGTTTACTTTCCTGCCAGAATGATTTGGGTGGGTTCCAAAGGGAAAAAAAAAAAACATCTACTGTTGCTTTGTAAATGTTTGTACAGCAGCATGCACAGGAATTAATTTAGTGCTATAATAGGTAGATTCTGTGGCATCTCTCATGTGGGTCTGCAAGATGTTGCACAAACTCTTGTGCAAGAAGAACATCAGTGGACTTAGTTTGGTGTTTCAGATGTAATATTTTCATGCAACAAATAAAAGTGTCCTTCTGTGGACAGAAGTTGCCTTTCTGATGCCTTCCAACGCAGTGTGCAAGATGAATTGTGGAAGGCTGGCTTCCTTCCAAGGTATCATATGGACAGAAGTTGCCTTTCTGATGTGGAGAGGCCACTTGGCTTCCAACGCAGTGTGCAAGATGAATATTGGAAGGCTGGCTTCCTTCCAAGGTATCAGATATTAGAACAGCCATCCTCAAGTTATAAAATACAGGAGAATTGTGTGTTAAACAGTGATCTGGGAAGGGGTGCCTTGAGTACACCGGTTTGGATTCACTGCAGCATTTCCAGGGCACAAGGACATCGGTCTGCTGTGTGTGACTTTTGTGGCTCCCCCCCCCCCCCCCTGGTGACAGATAATAATGCACTTCAAGATCCTGTTCCTAGGAACAGGATTTTGAGGGTATCTCAGGTTGCCACAGGAAGGGGAAGCAGTGGAAGTCATGATCCAAAGACAGAAATCCTTGCATCTACAGAAATATTACATTAGCTCCAAGCCCCCACTTTCAATTGTTCTTGTTTTCTTTAAAACTCAATTGCCCTTGTCACCCTTAGTACTTCTAGTGGCCCAGAACGATGGTTTTATGTTGAAACACTGGCCTGTATCCTACCATGCTACTACATGAAGTTTGAAGCCTTCCTCTAAAGTAAATGGCTTTTCCATAGAAAGAAGAGCCACTTAGGATGGAGGAAGACTCCTTAGACTGAAGGAGCTATTTTCTAATTCATTTTCTAATTCTATCTACACTCTCACAGAATTCTCTTATTTGGTAGTATTCAGGTGTCACACTAATCTGCAAACTCCAGCTTGCCATGAAAGGCAGAATTTGGTTTGTTCTACCCACACACTCCCCTTGCTCCTCCCTGCTTTTGCCCTCCCTGAGTGGAGCATGAAAGCAAACACTAGTTGAAGAAGAAGAAGAAGAGATTGGATTTATATTCCGCCCTTCACTACCCAAAGGTGTCTCAGAGCGGTTTACAAACTCCTTTCCCTCCCCCTCCCCACAACAGACACCCTGTGAGGTAGGTGGGGCTGAGAGAGCTCTTGACAGAAACTGCTCTTTTTCAAGAAGGCTGCGCCAGAACTATGGCTTGCCCAAGGTCATCCAGCCATGTGCAAGTGGAGGAGTGGGGAATCAAACCCGGTTCTCCCAGATTAGAGTCCACGCACTTAACCACTAAAACAGACTGGCTCTCAGTTGCCCATGATATCCAAATGCAGATGCCTGGGAAAATTAATTTGGTTCCCAGCACCACCACCTGAGCCTCAATTCCAAGATGGGGCTTTAACATGCTAAGGAGCAGTGGCAGTGCAAAAACAGGAAGAGGTAAACTATGCATACCGTCATCTTTTGTGT